AGTAGGGAAAGAGCGAATATAAAGATAGGAGACGAAAAATTAGAAGAAGTGGCTGATTTTAGATACCTAGGAAGTCAGATAAGTCAGGATGGAAGGAGTAGTAGGGATATAAAGCAGAGGATAGCGCAAGGTCGTGTCGACTTTAATAAAAAAAAGTCACTTCTATGCTCGCGAACGGTTAATTTAGAAATTCGAAAAAAGTTATTGAAGGTGTATGTTCGGAGCATGGCATTGTACGGGTGCGAAACATGGACAGTGGGCGCGGCGGAAATGAAAAGGTTAGAAGCGTTCAAAATGTGGTGTTATAGGCGGATGATGAGGATATCGTGGGTAGAAAAAGTTAGAAATGAAGAGGTATTGGAAAGTAGGAGAACAGAGGACTCTATGGAAGTCAATAAAAAGTAGGCGAGATAGGTTGGTAGGACAGCTTCTTAGGCATGACGGTCTGGTCAGAGACATATTAGAGACAGAAACGGTAGTAGGCCGAGATTAGATTACTGTTTGCAAATAGTTAAGGATGTGGGCTGTTTTAGTTTTAGGAAAATGCGAAGTTTAGCTCAGGATAGGAAAGAGTGGAGGTATGTGTCCAAGCAGTCTTAGGACTGACGACCTTATGATGATGATTTTAGTAACGTGTTGTTTTATATATTTTGTTTAAGTACACTATTTAAAATAGTAAACTGTAAGGCTTTTCTGGGGGCAATTTATAATAAGTCAGATTATTTTGCACTTCTGGAATTAAATAATGTTAAAGTACTATAGAATAAATAATGCAGACTATATTTAGGTATTTATAGTAATGTGGTAGGTATAGCAAACGATAAACAATATAATTTTATTAAGTTTAGTATGAGAGCTTAACTTCTTTTAAACTGTGTAGTAAAATGCACAAGTTTGTGAAAACATGTGTGAATTTAATAATTTTACTGGGCATATGTATTAACCATGCCCGATTAGGAAGGATTCCTAATAACTAAGATTATTTGTTAGTCTGGCCAAATAAAACAAATAGAAATAATAGAGAAATGATTAAAGTTTTCTGAGTTCCTGAGATCAGCAATTTTCAACGGAAAAAATAAGTATGGATTTGCCTTAGGGATAGGTTAATTGTTTCTATAGCGGTAAATTTCTCACAGGGAGTATCTGTACGTAGGTAAACATAAAAGTTCGATGAAATTCATATGCCTTATTTAGATTTATGGAGATTGGGAAAATATTCATGGGTATTTAATTAAACTGAAGTTGATTTTAATTAGTTTAATTTTTTAATACTTATTTTTTCCCTTTTTAGCATTTTTACCCTTCCTAATTTCTTCGTAGTATCAACCGTTTTTCATCTCTATTTAATATAAATTATCTCTGTTGATGTTTTAACTTCATTTGACTTTCTACTATATTAGTGACTTCTTCTTAACCACTTAATTATATCTACCCAATATAAAATTTGTTGTTTATCCAAGTTTTACTAGATATTTTATAAAACAGTTAGATTATTTGGTCAATTTTACCCCAATAATGATTTTTTCTAAATTAGGTAGATATTATACATAATTGGTAGTTAGTATAAATGTTACCTAGATTAATTATTTTAGTTGTAACATATTTAAGAATATTGTTTTTATACATAGTTTTCATACTCTACAAAAATGATCTTATCCATTATTCTCCTATAGTTTAGTAAGAGGATATGAAAAAAGGCAAGTGCATACGCTTTTCTCTATTGAAAATTGTTAATTGTTTTTGTTTAAACAAAATATATTGGTCTCAACAATATCGAAAGATTTACTTTCACATCTGTAGGAATTTTTACAAATTCTGCTTCTTATTTTTTTTTACCTTTATTAATAACAACTGGTAGAGATAATTTAAAATGACTTGAACTCCAGCCTTGGATTGCGTAGCACTTAAAAACATTGACCGTCACTGTTTACAGTTTAATTGGAGCTTCATCCCTGGTTGAACTGCGATGTATAGGTTTATAATCGAGCAATGTTTTCGTAATGTTTAATATGAATGTGCTAAGATCAGCCTCTCGCGCATGTGAAGGTGCATGTCATTTTAAATTACCTATACCTATGTTATAAACAAAAATTCTATGCGAATTTAAAAAATTGCCTGGAATGAAAATAAATTCAAAATTTACCGCAACAAAGAAACAGGAATTTTGATTTTATTTTTAATTTCTAGACGAACACCAGTTTAGAATTAGTCTGAATTATTTTTTTGTCCTCAAAATACATTTTATATTTGAATGCTACAATAGTACCATCAGGCGTAAAGAACGTTAATTTGAATGTAGTTTCTCACTGACAGGTAGATTTTTTTAACAGAAAACTGTTTGGTTGGTACTAAGCACTGTTATAATTGGGTCTATACATTTATAGATGGCGAAATAAGTGCCTTTTTTGTTTTTTGTTTCAGTTTCTAGTTGTTGAAAACTGTTGTGCTTATGCATTTTTTTATAAAATTTTTATGGCAATACATTGAGCTCATGATGAAAATTATGTTTGAAGTTGTGGTCCAATTTATTTNAATTAACACATTTTCGCTCAACTAGAAAATCGGTATATACAAAATGCAGCTTTTGTTACATTTGTAAAAACAAACCATATGTTTCGTCAAATTGCAAGGGCTCGTATTTGGCAATATCCTTCTGATAATTATCAGTATGGCGGAATAAAGCTTTTTCCAGAGTGGCGGTCAAATAATTACACAATTATATGTTTTTGTAACGTTTCGGTTTATTCAACCATCTTCAGACTGAAAAATTTTTGTAAATTTTAAAGTTACAAAAACATACAGTTATGTAATTATTTGACCGCCATCCTGGAGAAAACTACATAATTAGAAAAAATCCTAACAAGTTTCGATTACGTGACCATTTTCAAAGGAATACAAACACAAT